ACTTATAAAGGTATATATATTTTTTTAAATCTTTAAATTAATAATAATTAATTTATACTCTTTTAAATAACCTTTTTATAAATTAGGATCGTTAAGGATAATATTAATAAAATCGAACTATTAGCTTTTAAAATATCTTTATAAGTTAATGAGTTAGCGTTTTAGTATTTTAAATATTCTTAAAATAAATAGTTCGGTAATAATAGTAATAATAATAGGGCGATAGTAATAGGGTAATAGTAATAAATAAAAAGGGAAGCGTTTTTTAATTTTAATAAAGGAAACGAAGTAATAAATATATATATATATATATATATATATAAGTAAAGTTAAAATAGGGTAAATATTAATAATAAGAAAATTAGTATTATTTTTAATAACAGTAATAAGGGTATCTCTAATATTATATTATTATAAGCTATTATTACTTAGAGGGTAGTAAACTTAGCTAAGTAAGTAGCTTATAAAGTAATAGTATTATACTTAATATTATTATTAATCCGTAATTATAAACTTTATAAGAGGGAAAGTTTAAAAAAGTAAAAAATCTAAAAAAAATAGTTTAACGAGATAGTAAAAGTATTTACTAATACTATATATTAATATTATATAACCGATATTAAGAATTGCCCGAGTAGCTAGTAAAGGTAGAAAAAAAAACCTAAATTTACTAAATAAATCTACTAAATAAACTTATTAATATATAAACTATTACTTAAATAGCTAGTTAAATAACTAGTTAAGAAGTTAGTTAGTTAAAATACTACTTTAATAAGAACTTAAAAATACTTATTAATAAATCTCCCCCTCTTAAACTAAGCGCCCTCTTTAATTAACTTAATATTATAACTATCGTAATTAATATAAATATACTTTAAAAATAGTAAAGTACTTTTTAATAATACGGAATTTAGTTAAATAATATTATAAATATTATAAATAGCTAGGCTAATATAAATATTAAAATTTAATATATTTATATTAACTTAGTTATTATAATTATAATAAATAAGCTAGAGGTATATAGGGTTAGAATAATAAATTAATATTTTAAATAGCTCTTATAAAACCCCTTAAATAATAATAATACTTATATAAAAAAATAGATTATACTAAACTTAGCTATTTATATAAACTAATACTAAGAGGTTTTATATATATTAAAATAAATAAAGCTCGCTCTATAAGTAAATAATAAAAAATTAGGAGCTATTAATAAAAAGGAAATAATAATTAAGTTAGTTAATTACTATTTTAGTTAGTAATTAAGTATAGAGCGTATTATACTTAGTTTTCCTTAATACGTAATATATTATACGGCCCTAGTAAATTGCTCTATTAGGAGGTTATATTTTTATATATACTTAGACTTTATATATTTAATAATTAGTTATTAATAAACGCTCTATTTATAATAATTAGGGTCCTCGGGGTATTAACAAAGTAACTAGCTTTCAAAAATAATCTATCTTAATTATTTTTTCTATTTAAATTTTTTTTTTTAATTTGTTTTTTATTTTTACCTTTGCTAGCTACTCGGGCGATTCTTAATATCGGTTATACGGTATTAATACACAGTATTAATGGATACTCCCACCGTCTCGATAGACTACTATTCTTAATATAAATATTATTATTTATCGATTCTACCCCTATACTTCTCGACTTATCACGCCCTTATGTTGCGCACCGGCTTTTAGTCGGCAGACGTCACGGCCGGACAACTTTAAACATCACCACCGCTGTTCTAGATCATGAGTGATTCCCTGATTGCAGACCCATCATCGCCATCGTCGACCTCGGTTCGGCGGCAACATGTGGTTTCATGGCCAAAAACCGTCGGCTAGGTCTCTTCTAATCGTCGTCTCGGTGCTGGCACTCGGCTGTACCTCAACTTCGAGCCAGGTATCTAGCTCAATCGACGCCTCACCCACAAACACCCAGATCGCCTTTTGTCAGTTCAAGACGATCAATTACATCACGCACACACTTCCTCAACAGTGTCTCAAGACCAGTTGGCCAGGCGGCAGGGCTGTCAGCGATGGTCCAACTCCGATGAACGACAACGCAAGCTTACCTCCCGACGATCCAACAAAAACTACACATAGTGCTGGGGATACCGTGGTCGCGACCACCAACGTCTCGACACTCGACCGGACAAGCAACGATAACACAAATCCGTCTCCTACCGAGACCGCAACCGATGATGAAGTCACACCGAGGCCTTTCATGTCCTTTGAGGAATGGAAGGAAATGATGCTCCGAAAGGCAGGTCAAGACCCCTCGGAACTCAAATCCCGGAAAATAGTCGAGCGAGCGACCGAGCATGATAGAGCAACCAGAAGTTCAGGTCTTGATAGTCTCGGTATTGACGATGGGGAGATCGACTTGAACTTCGATGTTGTTTCTGAGAAAATCAGCAACATTGCATCAGCACCCCAGGCCATTCCGACAGAAGTGGCAACTCCCGACCAACAGCAAGAGCCTGTACTTTATGACGATGGCAGGACGCAATACTACCGGAGTAAGGACGCTGGAAAGACCTGCAAGGAAAGGTTCTCCTACTCGTCATTTGATGCTGGCGCAACAGTTCTCAAGACCAACAAAGGCGCGAAGAATGCCAAGGCCATCTTGGTTGAAAACAAGGATTCATACATGTTACTGGAATGCTCTGCAGGAAACAAGTTCGTGATTGTTGAGCTCAGTGACGATATTCTAGTCGACACCGTTGTGCTGGCCAACTTTGAGTTCTTTTCCAGCATGGTACGGCACTTCCGGGTTAGTGTGAGTGACAGGTATCCTGTGAAGGTTGATAAGTGGAAAGATTTGGGGACATTCGAAGCCAAGAATTCTCGGGACATCCAGCCCTTCCTCGTTCAAAATCCCCTGATCTGGGCTAAATACGTCAGGATAGAGTTCCTAACTCACTATGGCAACGAGTTCTATTGTCCAGTCTCGTTATTGCGTGTGCATGGCACACGAATGTTGGAGTCATGGAAGGACCAAGAGACGCAGACTGATGAAGAAGAGACGGTGGAAGAGCCTGTGGGCGAGCTGCCTAGTTCTGCCACCAACGCTGAGATTGGAGAGAATGCCACGTTTGCATCCCCAGAGGGGGGCTCCTTAGAGGTGGCATCTGACACCTCGCCAGACCTGCTCATGCCGCGCCACATCTTTTCGCGTCTGGATTGGGATAACTCGACATGCTCTCCTTTAATGCTACTGCCGCATTCAGAGCCAATTTCATCGGACCCAGAACTGCAGACTGGAGATCGTGTAAAGCAAGGCTACCAACCATCAACACATGATCGATTTCGGGCCGGAGACTCTGCCAAACGTGTCTCTGAGGACAGATCGGCGTTTGCCCCAGCAAACTTGACAGATCAAGTTGACGAAACATACATTCCATCATCGGCGAAGTCTGTCCCTGTCGGTGTACACCAAAGCAGCACATACACCGAATCGAGGCCAGGAGGAGGAGAAAGTACGACATTGGGCACATCCTCAACAAAGACAGCACAAGCCACTGTCCAATCCCGCAATAAGCACAACTCAACAGCAGCGCCCTCGTCTCCTACAGTTCAGGAGAGTTTCTTCAAGGCCATTAGCAAGCGCCTGCAGTACTTAGAGTCAAATGTCTCGCTGTCACTCAAGTACATCGAGGACCAGTCTCGCTACCTTCAAGAGACCCAGAGAATGGCCGAGAGGAGGCAGTTGTCTAGAATAGACATCTTCCTGGACAGTCTGAACAACACCGTACTGTCAGAACTGCGGACTGTTCGCCAGCAGTATGATCAGATATGGCAATCTACTGTCATTGCGCTGGAGAGTCAGCGAGAGCAGTCACAGAGGGAAACCGTCGCACTCAGCTCTCGGCTCAACATTCTTGCCGATGAAGTTGTGTTCCAGAAGAGGATGGCTATCGTACAGGCCATTCTTCTGTTGTCATGCCTCATCCTCGTCATATTCTCCCGAGCAATGACACAACCGATCCTGGCTGGCTCCTTTGATCTCGGTCGAACATCGAATCTGAACCATGCCGAATCTGGCATTAGATCCGAACAAGTTGCTCAGAACACATATACCTCCGTGTATGACAGTTTTGGCCGGCCGTTTGACGGGGAAGGCCGTGGCGAAAGAGCCTCAACGGAGGGGGGTTCTGGAGCCTTGCAAAACTTGCAGGGCACGCCTGCAAGGCTGCTCACGCCGGCATCAGAAGATGGATACAGTTGCCAAGCCTCAGAGAGCAATCTGTGTGGCCCTGATAGGTCTATGATGTCGCAAACACACCCATTTGGTACATTTGCTGACAATGACTCCACTGGGGATTGCCATGACTCATCCGTGGATTTTGGCGAGCATCTTCTCCTTGAGGCAGCGGCTGGAACATTAAATGATGCGGCACGGCATGGTTGTGGAATTTTGCCCCAAAACTCACTTCGTTCAACTAGAGTCCTTCTAGACCCCCCGCCACTGGAGAGCGACGCTGAGGCTCGTTTAGCAAATCAACCTCTTGGGGTCGTCTCATCTACGGTTCGCAAACCACTTCCAGCTTTACCAGAGTGAGTATCTCACTTCGGCTTACAAAACCCCACCATGTACCGTATCCAACTCGACTTTGTGTTAGGTTCCTCACATCATTGCCATCGCATTGACGAATGGAACCACATCATACCCATTGCCATGGGCGGCGTGTTGTATGCAGCATCGTGGCAATAATGGGTTTTGTTATTGAAATGAGACAAAGCGCAGGAACACACTTGGCACGGCTGAGAGATTATGCAGCCATGATATCTTAGCAGAGTATAGCTAGGTACTAATGATTACACGTTCATGACGCTTCCAGAAAGCTCCAGTATATAACAATCAAAGTTGGAGCCCCATGTATGTGGACAGAACTTCAATGTCTCAATTCCCCCTAATAATATTGCGATGCCAGTACTTTCATTCGACCTGCATTATCCCTTGAAACTGCCTTCCAAATTCCTCCACCCACTACCTTAAGCATGATACATGTATGGCTGCATAGATGCTTCGAAGTCATGTTCTTCGAGGGCGGCCAATCTGGTACCTCGGTCATACTGCGAGCGTCTGCGGCGTTGCTCGTCGCGGAAATGCTGTCCAGCGTTGGGTGTGAAAAGCCCTGCGAGGTTCCTGTTAGCATGGTCTAGTAAACATCGGCGATCCTTTCGTACCAACGTGTTCTGCATTTTCGCAGCTTCGTTTCATCTTCGACTGGTTGTCTGGCTCTGGAAAAGACTCCTCCTCTCCCGCGAGCTCTGGGACGGGCCCATTGCAAGTGTAGAACAGCTACATTGTAATTAGTGTTCAGCTCTGTCGCGCGACCGGTGGAATCTCGCTGACCTTGGGACGATAATGCGTTGCTTCGAGCATTACGGAGCTGTTTCTGAACTTCTGGACAAGACAATCCTTGCCCTGAATGGCTTTGAGAGAGCATGTCAGCAGGCCAGTTTGACGCTTATCCCACTTCGCGGCACTCACTAGCATAGGAAATTTCAGCGACCTTGTCGCTCTTGAAACAGTTCCTGGGTCGATGTAAGCTGGTGTAATGTCGTCTGGATTGATTGTTACGTTCAACATACCATCTCTGGTTACCTCTGGTATTGACGAACTGTAATCTGAACATCAGCACTGCCGCGAACGCAAGGTCTGGGCTTACCGACATCAATGATGTCCAACGGCTACGAAGCAATGTCAGTAACACGTTACAGGCTCCCCAAAGGTCAGACTTACATCCACGAAATTGATAAAAGCGTATCCGACACTGAGGGAGTCCTTCGTGGTTAGCGACCTGATGCATGATGAGTTTTGAGACGGGCGATACTGCTTACTTGCAGTCATTGGCGAAATCAATCCGGAGATACATGAAGTCATACTTGCCCCAGCTAGATTCATCAACGATCCGCTTGAGCATTGCTTGATCTACTTTGTTCGGAATGTTGCGAAGCATGATCTCAGCATTGTCAGTCTGAGTATCTAACAACACCAACACATCACTTACCGTGGTGCGAACATCTGTTCCTTCACGGATGCGGTTCACATCGACGTGGTTGTGGTGGCTAGCAACATTATAATAGGGTGATCTGTTGACTCTGGCTGCATTCTGCCTTCGGGGCTCGGCTCTGGTGCCAGGAGACATCGATCCCATCATTGGCATGCTCGGTGAAGGCTGTGAGAAAAGATGGTTCGTGAACTGATACCTCGCTGAGTCGGATGTAGACGTAGGCGGCGAGAGGCGCTGGCCATCATTCAGAACGTATGCTGTACCTGGCTGAAACTGCGGCTGGCACAAGATGGGCCACATCGCCAGAGGGGAAACCTGGATACCGAGAGGGGGGTATGGAGATCCAGGCACGGGTATGGACACTCCCTGAGGCATGAGAGGCATCGAATTAGCTTGATTGGAGAGAGAAAGTGCATGAAGGGCACTTGTCAGATCGTGCCTAGGCGTGGTTGGGCTGTGGTCGTCGGTCGGACCGTCTTGGGGATCTTGAGCCGCATGAGGAATCTCGTTTTCGTCCAAAAGCGACAGGGTGATGTGGATCCCCTTGAAAATGATTAGCTCACTTCCAACGTTGTCCCCGTGTAGTTTGCCAGCGCTCGATGAGCTTACTTCGACAATTATGTTGTTGAACATAACCACGGCTGTGGCAGCTTCTGCCTGGTCACTGAACTGAATGATAGCTCTGTATACCGAAGGATCATTCTTCTGCTGAGCATGGTATGCCGAGAGTTGGCCCCGCGACTGCAGCATGCGCTTGAGAACTGCTTCGGTGCGGATAACGTCGAGTGGACAGGGAGGAATAGCTAGGGCAACAATGGCGACCCAAGCTCCAGACTTGACTCTGTTCCTAATGGCAAGCTTCTCGAATATCAGTTATGAGACTTCAGTAAGAGATCCGATAAGACGCACCTCTGAAAAGTCAACATTTGACAGATAGTCGATTTCAAAGTCAGCCTCGACTCGATAAACGTTGTCGTGGACCAAAACGGCGTCACGAATGTCGCTGAATTGGACGGAGATTCGCCCTCCCCTGTGGAAGATCTGTCGCGGTTCTTGGAGTGAGAGACCAAGTCGCTGGAGTTTCTAATTACTTGTTAGTCAAGATATTACGTGACGGGAGGCAAACCACTCACCACGAGACAAGTATTCAGATCGGTGATGCCAATGTTTCGGTTTTTGGAGCCGATTATGAGACATTCCGAGAGTTCACCAACATCCCTAACTCCAGTTGGAAAGACGCTGGAAGCTGATTGCCTGTCTCTGTCGAGAATTGCGAATTCAGCGTTCTTGTCCAGCGGTGAAGAGAAGGGCTGGAAAGTAGAGGCAGTCGGCGACAGCTTCTGATGGCAAGTGTTTGAACTTGTAGTGATGAAAGGGTCCTTCTCGGCACTAGACAAGACATTGCCAAAGGCACTCGAGGGAAATCTCGAGGGAGTGGTCTCTGGCGAGGCTTGCACAATTGATTTGAGAAGACGAGAGGACCTCGTGGCGCTTTCCTCTGGGGAGAAGGCGGTCAACCTTGTGTCAGGTGTTCCCTTGAAGGAATCGGCAGCGCCGACAGAGGAGTGAGGCGAAGAAGGGTTAAACATGACGTTCTCATGGGTTTGGGCCATCTTGTCTGTCGTGATGTTTCTTCTCGACGAGCGATGCCTCTCAACCCAACAAGTGAAGACGAAGGGGAGGAAAATGAGAGAGTGGTGTCTGATAAGTAAGGGAAAGAGATCGAACTATCGAGACCCGGGGGATGATAGATGGAGTTGACAGGCTTGAGTCTCAACGCAACAGGCAGAAGATTGAACTCTGTTGCTTGCCCGCGAGGCAGCCGTGCCCCTGCAGAAGTCTCAGACGGGTGACGATACCGAGTAGTTCTCACCTTGGGAGAGGCCGACAGCGAAAGTTCAGGACAAGTTGAGGATGCGTGGGCCTACGCGTGCTATGCGCCGACAAAGATGGCCAGGTAGGTAACGTCAGGTAGTCGGGGTGGAAGTAGGAGAGATGTGTATGAGTCTGGGGGCCTCGTGGGAAAATGTGAAATATGAGGTGTGCGAGGGTGGATGTTGGTGCAGCGCAAGTTGAGAAGGAAAGAACCTGCCCTTCATGGAGGCAGCGAACGGAAGGAGCCTGCCTACCTTATGTAGCAGTTGGTGGGCAGGTGGTGAAAAGGGGGAAGGCACGTCGCAGGGTGGATTCCTTCTCTCCTTCCCCGGCAGTGACACTTTCCTTCCGTGGTGGACGAAGGAATATTATGAGGGCTTGCACCTGCCTGCCTCCAAAGTCTGAAGTTTCACCTTACCTACTGAAGATTCCTCCCTCACCACACGAGCTTCGTCTTCATCCAGGAGGAGCCACATCAACCAATATGCATCAGGTGTACCTGCCCCAACTTACAACCTCTCACACTTCCTTCCCATACTCCGAACGAGGGAGCAGCGAGCCGATCGGGACCGCTGGAAGGACACTGTTCGCACCAATTCCGAGGCAGGTACACGCCGACAGAACTGTGCCGTAATATGACTGTTCTGTGGAGAGGTGTAAGTCCAGCGTGGTGACACGAAGAGAGCGAGAGAGGCCAGGGCTTGTAGATGCCGTTCGTGTTCCTGTTAGGCTTCTGAAAGAAGTATGGCAAGCAGCCCGAGGTCATCCTTTATGAAGAATGTAGGATCAAAACTGAATGGACTTGCCATGTCTGGAAAAGTTGGGCACTACGGTCCACTATGAGCTGGCGATGATCTAAACATAACCGTTGCCCAGTATCAAGTTGGAGCTACGTTATGAGGGACGGGACCCACCCACCCCGCAAACCGGGAGACAAGGTCCTTGGCTGCCGGAGGACACGGCCCCGGGATGGAAGGTCACCCACGTCAAAGTGGTGCTGCCAGGTATGCCAGGGTACCTTACTTTCCATGCGAGCACCTGCATTAGTGGCGCTGACCGAGCCTAGTCCAAAAAGGAAGAGCCTCCTCAGGCCTGCATAGCAATCCGCATATCTTAGCTCCGACATCACCAACCGCCGGGTGGAGCTTGCTTACCTAGTACCAGTCTATCGACCTACCTAAGCATCCGTACCTTAACACAGGGCCACCGGCACAACCCAATCGCCTTTTCGTCCACGTTCGTCAGATTTCATTGAACTGGCCGCTTCTGCCTCAACCAGAGACTTGCTCATGCCCAGCCCAAGCCACGAAGCTGGTTCTACAACAAATCGCCACCGCCTACCGACTAAACGAACCCCGTGTCCAGTCCACCCCAACGAGACCGCGTACTGCGCAAGGCATGGAACAAGATGCCTCGGCGCCCGCAGACCTATGATGATTATGGCGCAGCCGTCCAACAGGTTGAATCTGAGCCTTGATACTAACCGCACACATCTTTTTCATTTGCTAACTCGAACTTGCCCCAGATCATCATCACTTCATCTGACGCAGACTTTCTCGACCAGCTCATTCCGGTCCTCAAAGATGCTTCGCACTCGAATCGAACCCCCTCGCTGATGCAAAATCTCGTGCGATATGCCGAAGACAGAGAGTCTGATATCGAGAGAATAGGCTTGACAAAGCACGAGGAGTTTCTTGGTTCCGTGAACCAACTTCAGAACGTGCGCGAAGGCACTGTTACTCTCACAGCAGAGATTCTCAGGTTGAACCAGTCAATCCAGGCCAGCACCGAGAAGCTTGCTGACCAGAAGCAAGCTCTGGTCAACACAAGAGCCGTTCGGCAGAATATTGCCGACGCATCGGATGCTCTGAAAGAGTCGCTCAAGATCCTCCACGCTGTCAATCATGCCCATGACCTGATCCGTACTAAAAAGTATTATGCAGCACTCAAGTCACTCGAGGACTTGCAGAATGAGCATCTGATTCCGACGATCCAGAATAAGTACGCCACTCAGCATAGACTAGCCGATGTGATCCAAAAGTCGATACCCGCATCTCAGAAAATCATTTCTGAAGCCGTTATGACCGACCTAAATACCTGGCTGTTTCGAATTCGCGAGACCTCACAGTTCCTTGGTGAGGTCGCGTTCTATCATACCGAACTTAGAAGGGCGAGACAGAGAGAACGTGTGGAGCGAGACAGTTTCCTCAACAACTTCAGACTCAACTCGTCGATCGAGCTGGTCTTTGACGAAAGCGAAGAGTTCGACGTGCTCGACAACGAGGAGCTACGGGTTGACTTCACCCCGTTGTTCGAGTGCCTCCATATCCACAATGCCCTGGGTCAAAGCGAGAAATTCCGTGCCGAGTATGCTACAACTCGTCGTCAGCAGAAAGATTTACTACTGCCAAGCACGGTGAATCTTGTTGCAGAGGATGAATCCTCCCTGAGCAGTCTCCTCGAAGGCATTGCTGGTTTTGCCATCATCGAGAAGGCGACCATGAGACGAGTTCCCAACTTGCGCTCTGCGGTTGATGTAGGCTGACGCTCCCCTCGGCCTCCCTTTGTGCTGGTGCTGAATTGTTCTTAGGTTGACGAGCTATGGGACTCAATGTGTCACACTGCTATCACATTGACCTCTCAGGCCCTCAATGAAGTCAGCAACGCCGAGATACTACTCAAGATCAAAGGCGTTATAGCTCTTTTCATTCAAACCATGGAGGTAAGCAGTTTTGTTGAGTCGTGTGCTACTCTTCAAAACCCGTTTCCTGACACTTGATCCACAACAGGGCTGGGGTTATTCTGTTTCTATGCTGGACAACTTCCTGCTTACGTTGTTTGACAAGTATGCAGAGCTTTTGAAGCGTCGCTTCAGCGAAGACTTCCAGGAGGTACAGAATCTTGTCCGCTTAGGCAAAGTTTGGGGTAGCTAACGCGAGCTAGATTGTGTCAACGGACGACTACATGCCTATGGCAATTAATACTCGTGAAGAGTATGAGAAGGTGGTGAACGTTAGCTGGTTTTCCCAAGAAAAACCGCTCGAGGAGCTCAGGTAAGCAAGCCTATTGTCTGACCATATCCTTACTCAAGTGTCTGATCATCATTCAGCTTCCCCTGCGTTTTGCCATTCTCGCAGATGTATCCACTTTGCTGCATCGACATCCGCAACTTCTTGAACCAGTTCTACTTCTTCTCCGATGACCACTTCCAGCATCCAAATGTAATCGACGACACACTTCGCAAGGCAAGTAACATGGCTGGTATAACTTGAGAAACATTACTGACTCTTCAACAACTTGCAGTCGCTTGACGAGCTGCTGACCGAAAAGGTTTGCAAGTCTCTCGTCGAGAGGCTGAGCTCACAATATCTCGGGCAGATTGTGCAGATTCTCATCAACCTAGAGCACTTTGAAGCCGCATGCCAGGAGCTTGAGCAGCTTCTTATCCGAGCAAGATCGTCTACGTCAGCTGGCGGCCCTGTCACGCTTGTTGCCACTGAAGAATTCCGAAACAACAAAAAGACAGCCGAGAAGCGTATTTTCGAACTTGTCAACTCAAAGATCGATGACCTTGTGGATACAGCTGAATATGACTGGTATGTTGGACTAGACTATTTTCGACTACAAACGAAACGCCTCGTTGATGTTGACTAACAACGGTATATAGGATGGTGACCACGACATCTCCCGACCCAAGCAGCTACATGCAGACCATGACCCGGTATCTTTCGACCATCATGAACTCGACGCTTCTAGGCTTGCCAAGAGAAATCAAAGAGCTCATATACTTTGATGCACTCAGCCATGCCGCCAACAAGATTCTTGTGAGTTTCTTGATGTCCCGGACAGCCCCAACTCGTTCCGACATCACTGACACATGTTGTCGTGCAGGCGTTGCCACTTTCCCCGGACGTCAAGCATATCAACACCAACGCCGTCGCGGCCTTGGCCAAAGACGTTCAGTATCTGACCGAGTTTGTCGACAGTCTTGAAAACGGAGCCATGCTACGAGAGAACCTGGACGAACTCCAACAAACGATCAACCTGATGCAGTCTGACAATCACGACGAATTCTTTGATATTTCAATTCGCAACAAAAAGTTTGGTCGCGTAGACGCATTGAACGGTCCCATCCTACTGGAAAAGTAAGGCTCGAGATCACTTTTGTCTTCCCACACTCAAATATTGACATTCCTTACAGGCTTACCTCGAATGCCCAAGGTCCTACACGCAGCGCTCCTCTCGCCAACTTTTCATCCAGATTCGGTATGATGAAGTGAGAGCCGTTTGCCTCCCAGATGATGTGTGCAGAACCTAGTGCATGCAAGGGGTACTCTGTTGAATAAACCAGCACGCGTCATATCTGAGTCCTGCTGAAGCAAATACCCATTTGTATTCTCTCCGGGATGTTACTAGGCTCAGATATGGAGCTCATAGCTTTCCCCTCCGCAACCTACTAATTACTCAAGAGGATCAATCCATCGTGAAGCACTGGCAGATTCGATGCTGTCCCGTCATCATGGCTCTCGTCGCTAATAATGCCTTGAACGCCTCTACGCCGGATCCAAATCGAAACGATAACTTGGCCCCTATTTTTGCTTCACCTGTGAGGGGTAAACTGAAGATAGCCGCTGTAGACACATTTGTTGCTGCGCGTGTCCATCCTCTACTCGAACTCCTCACTGGACATGGGAGGCTGTCAAGTTCGTCAGCCCGTTCGTGGCGTAGCGAATCATCAATACTGGACAGACACTCACCTGCTGTGGCTGCATAGTCCCATAACCATACATGCCCTCAATCTCGCCATACATGGGTTGTTGAGCTTGTCCATAGGGGGCAGAGGGGCCTGGCTGTACTTGGCCGGGGTACATATTCGGGTTTTGGCGATAATCCTGATCGGGCCCAAGAGCGTGGCCAGCGAGACCGTAATCAGTTGCCGCCATGGGATGCGAGGAGGACGAATGGTTTGCTGGTTGTGGCATGGAGCCATGCTGGCCTGGCATTTGGGGGTTTGCTTGGGCTGGAACGCCTTGGGGTGTGGGAGCAGCCTGTCCCGCTGTTCTCTTGGCATGCGAAGAAGCCTCCTCCCGAGGAACTATGTCAATAAGAAAATCAAACATGTCCGATTTGGCGAGGGCAGATGCAATGTCAGATCGCTGTAAAGTGCGCCGCTTGTTCTCTTCGGCGTGGATCCATGCCCGCATCGTGAGTTCCGTGATGAAGATGTCGCAGCCCTTTGCGAAGAGGATGGGTGCTTCGGCGGATATCATTTTGACTTCGGGATCAGCCTTCATAACTTTCTTGATGCGCGCCAGGGGCAGTTGATGCAGCTTGTAGTCATGGTTGTCGCTTTCCAAATGATTGATGGTCTGCTGCCAGTAGGTTGTCAAGATGTCCTTGTACTGGCCGGTCAAGCCTTGATGAACCTGTCATATGGCAACGCGCGTCAGTCGACTCCAGATTCATATGAAAGGGAATGGGGGTGTGACCGCACATTTGCCCAAGGGCCGGTGTAAAGTTCTGCGGGAGCGAAACCCTGGGCCGATAGCTGTGTGCGTGATTAGATACGGCTCATGAGATGGATCGTATGCGTTGCAGGTAGACGCCGTTTGCGAGTCGCAAGGAGGAGATACGAACCGCAGCACTTGCGCCTAAGTTTGAAGATGGACATCAGTACAACTGTGGTAAGAAGAGGCTGGGATGAAGTGAAGGAGGTAGCTCGCGTCAAGAGTGCGCTCCATCGCGCATTCGCGCGTGATCGGGGAGGGTAGGCGAGGGGTTGGTTGCATTTCCACTTACCATAATGGCCGCCATGAGACGTATCATACACAGGCTGCGGGCGGCCTTGCTGGGCATGAGAGCCAGGCTGATTTTGAGGGTCCATGGTAGCTGTCGCGAGAAACAGTGATTCCTGACTGTACCTAAGGTGGTTGAAAATGATTGATGCGTGGAATTGGTGGGCAACGCGATGGGAAAGCTGCGAATCACAGGTGTGTGGGGGTTGTCGGGTCGTCTGTCGGACGTTCAAGGTTGTTGATTGAGACTTGCGATCAGTGCTCTGGCGCGTCTCGGCTCGGAGGCGCGGTGAGATACGCAAATCAGATGCTTAGAGTCGGATTGCGATGCACGGGCTACCAACCATTGAGAGACCCTTGAGGCGTTGGGACTCTGGACTTTGGGAGGACGGTGGAGGAGAGAGCAGAGAGCGGGTAAATGTTCGGCAGGTCTCCAAAGTAAGGTACCTAGGGCAAGGTGGGTAGGCAATGTAGGTAGGTACTTAGGTTCAGCGCCGCGGACTGCCTCTGTCAACAACTTCGGTTGCCCGTAGGTAAGGTAAGCACCCAAGGTATTGTCAGGGAGCCAAGGATGAAGAATCGAACGATTTAGGGTGGAAGGAGGTGAGTACGGATAGACAGCAAACGCCAGTGATATGTTGGATCCCTTTAACTAAAGATATAATACTTGAAGCCGGTTGATGTTTGCGACAGGCGAACTTGAACGCGATACTGGCTACTGAGCGCCCATGCGGTGAGGTGAGTGGGCTCGACAGACCTCTTATCGGGGGCAGATGTGAGGTACCTTAGGTAACAGCCTCTTCCATGGGCAGCGTCATTAGGAACAAGGATGTACCTCGGTAAGGTAAGGCAAGGTACCTAGAATCTTGAAAGCACAAAACCTGGAGGCTGGCATAAGGTAGGCTGAAATCCATTGGTCAGGTTATGGATGCCTTACGAGACTAAGGTACTTCGGGGTATGTGGGCGGTACCTTGTTAAACCTGTCATGAGTGCCTGACCGCTAAAAAACCACCCGACTGAGATAGGTGTGCTGGATGGACATCACGGCCTGACTGCAAGGCAACGCTACCTCACCTTACCACACCTCACCTCACCTCACCTTACTACCTACCTTGCTTACCACCCTAGGCACCTGACCGTGTGCGGAGTTTGACACCTTAAGGTAGGGAACCAAGTCCTCAGCGTGGCCCGGGTAATTCAAGCGACGTGTAATGACACCTAAGGTACGGATATAATCCACGATACGTTCTTGGTAACCGAACATACCTTCAATTCAACCTTTAGGTGTTGAGCACTTTACGATCGGGCAATGCAGCAATAGGTACTTAGTACTCTGCAGGCAGGAACGTTGGTATCTTGGGTGCGACATGCAGCCTCAATTCTCAGAGCACACCGAATTACTCTATTCAGCTGCCTGTTGGGCATCCCACGGCCTCGTCAATCACGCAGCCCCTTGGGAGGCCGAGTCGCCCCAAAATTTGGTGCTGCCATTTCCTATCTGACGCCAGACAATGTTAGATATGCCGTGAAGGTGATGTGGTCCCCAGTTGCGTAGAGCTGCATGTGGCCGATGACGTGGCTGAGAATCGAGAATCCAATACGACTGCACTGTAGAGCAATGCGCTGCTCCAATGCTGCGGGAGTCTATGAGCTGGCCAGGGCAGCTGGTCTTTCATCGCTTCCAGCTTACATAACAGCCTGTGTATCGATGCATTACCTAATACATAGTAATCACCTCCAACCTAACCGACGCGCCTCAATTCACTATCCACTCGTGTCGAATCCCATTGCCCCACTAGACCTTTTAAGACGAAAAAAAAAATCTTGCTTCAATCGGCACAGCTCTCTTCTTTCTCCTCGATCCTTTTCTTCACACAGCTGATCCTCCCGTCAGCTCCCATTGTTCAATCGCACATTATCGCTATGCCAGAGCTGTGCGATGGGCGTCTTGATGAACTCCTGAAAGAAGCGGCTAGTCGCCTCGCGACGAAGCAGCCGCCACGGCCCAAGGATTGCACCTTGATTGCTATGAAGGCCGCGCCTGCCAATCCAACTCTGGATTCAAAGGTGCAAGCCAAGGCACAAGACCCAAAGAGCGTTATGCTTCGCGATCCTAGGCCAGCGGAGAAGAAGGTACGTTGCAGCGCCTCGCGCAATTTCTACTCCTTACCCTCCACCACTCACATCTTCTGATGAGAAGCAACCCCTGCTTTATTTTCTTGATGTGGTGACGGTGCCCGTCTTGGGTTACCTGCCACGCCAAAATGATCATTCATTTCATAGTTACTCTGATTTGAGACTCTCTGCCGATTCTGTGTCCTGCCTATTAGTCTTCAATGGACCTGTGAGCTAACAGCAGACAGACTGGCAAAGATAATGCTGGCCCGGGCTGGTTTGGCATTCCCAAGACAGACCCTAACGACCCCGAGCTGAAGCGAGACCTTCAGATTCTTCACATGAGAGGAACCGCCATCGATTCTAAGCGACACTACAAGAAGGAATCCCTCAAGGCCAAGGTACCTCGCTACGCTCATGTTGGACGTATTGTCGAGGGCCCGACCGAGTTCTACAGCGCTCGCTTGACACGCAAGGAGAGAACGCAGACACTGGTGGATGAGTTGTTAAGCGCAGAAAAGGCGTCGGGCAAGTTCAGATCCAAATATGAGGCGATTCAAACGAAAAAGGCGAGCGGCAAAAAGGCCTTTTACAAAAAGTTGGTGGAGCGCCGCCGGCGCAGCCGCCAGTAGCCAGAAACACGTTTTACTCTGGCTCAAGATGTCTCTTTTAAATTCGTGATACCCGAAGTCGCTGGCTGATAGCTGCGCGAAACAAATAAAAAATCAAACATGAACTATTGCCCCGAGTCGCAGGTGTCAGGAATGCAAGACATGATGGATGTGAATATTCGATAACATAGTGTTGAATTCAATCACGACAATGAACTGTCCTTGAGAATGCAACCAAGCGCTCTATATGAATTACCCAACGAAGCAGATTTAATGTGTTTAAGCAACGCGAGGTAACAAATCGTCATATGCATAAAACGAGGTATTCAATAAAGTGGACCTGTTTTCTTTTCTTTTGAAAACGGCTGTTCCCACGCAGCTTACCTCATATATGAATAACTTGCGGGTACCTTTAGATTTTACCGTCAGGATCCGTACTCGACCCTTTCCGCATGGCAACAGCATCGCATTGCTCAAGTATCTCGGTACATATGCAGAGAAGATGCGCGCTTCGACACTGTTGAGGCCAACCGCCCGCTGCCTGGCGCGGTCACATTTACAGGTTTGTTGGTACTCCTCTCGCGGCGTTGACGTTGCGTGGACGAGGCAAAAGTTGTTCTCTCACTGACCATTCAATCCTGGTTCGCAGGGAACCCTGAGACCATCATGGACTCGCTCACTCAACACAGAGACGCCGCAAGCCTCAGTGATGCAACCTTCGAAAGCTCCCGAACCAACGAGAAACTCGCAGGCTATTAGCGAGTCTGACCCTGTGTAAGTACTCACTGCGACTGGGCCATACAATATGCGGTGATATTGATGATTATCACTTGCAAGGCAACATTTCTTCGGGAAGACCAAAGAGAACGAACCAAGATATCCTCGAGGCGTTCAGGCACTCTATCTCCAGCCACTACGTCGCGAAGCCGAGTACGGAATTCCTTCATGCGACCTTCAGCTGCGCTCATACAGTTTGAGGAACCTCGAATTCTTCTCCGACTTTGCCCTTCGCGCAGCGTACTACCTGAAGCTCCCAGCATTCGGCCCTGTGCCACTGCCTCGAATTACTGAACGATGGACGGTTCCCCGGAGTAGTTTCATCTTCAAAAAGTCACAGGAGAACTTCGAGCGTATAACGATGCGTCGCCTTGTTCAAATCCGCGACGGAAATCCTGAGACGGTTCAATTGTGGCTAGCTTTTCTCCAAAAGCACGCCTATTACGGCATTGGTATGAAGGCCAACGTGTGGGACTTTGGAAAGCTTGGTAGGTCATAACAACGGAAGACGTCGTGCAGGCAGGTCCCTGCTTGCTCGTTTGAAGCAAGATTTAACGTGTCATTCTTTTCCCAGGTGTCGGCAAGGCCATGGATGCCATTGATCCAGAGACGACTGAGGCGATTGACTCGCGGTGGAACCATCTGGGTCAAAACCGGGAACTTGATACAGTCGAGAAAGTGGAGGAGTTTTTGGCTACAGTCCGGTTCGATAAGGATAGTGGCAAGCGATCAGAGGGGGAGCGGCGGTTCCTCCAGACCCAATGGAAGAAAGACGAGGCGGCCAAAAGGAAGGCAGCCTTAAACGTCTGAGAGTTCGGGCCACCGATATGTCGACGTATAAGCTGGCGTGTCGGACCTAGGGAGAGTATTGGGGACAGCCAAAGAAAGGAATGACAAAAGGCTCTGTCAGTGTATCAAATAGTTGAAAAGGGACCCCGTCGTGAGTGTGTCCTGTGTAAATCATAAATATCAAACCTGGCCCTTGTCGCGTTGGGTCACAGACTGCTATTCTTATGTCGTTCACAAAGGCTTGTGCGCCTGCGATCTGCTCGCCATTGGACATCATATCATGACAAAATCCTCAACTATGTCTCCAGGCCCAGGACCAATCACACCCCGTTATAGCAATATAGACAGAACGGAAATAACCGGTTCATTGCCCCATGCGTCGGATTTCTCACCCTTTCGTTCGGTCAGTGGGTTTATCATGTTTGTGTACGCCAACGATTCAGAGCACACGGGCTGGCAGGTATGAACTGTCATTGAGCTTGCAACTATTTTCGGGGGTTAAAGCCATCTGCGGGTCTTACCTAACCTCTTGACGCCTCGGGCCTATTTCGTTATTGACAACACAAAGTGAGTACAATGCCTGAAATTCTCGTTCTTCCTAAATTTAAAATCGTTGTCAGACCTCTCTACTCTGAACATTAATACGACTCTTCCTCATGTGGCAACGTTCGAGGCGGGCAGTCCACCGGCTCAAGGTTCCGGCCGGACGCCGCGACGCGTCAAGTGGGAATCACCAAGTCATTTTCTCGGGCATCCAGCCTACGGGAACACCGCACCTGGGCAACTACGCCGGTGCCATCCGCCAATGGGTGCAACTCCAAGCCAAGCCTTCTGAGAGCTGCAAACTTGTGTACTCTGTCGTCGACTTGCACGCTATCACCGTACCCCAGAACGCAAAACAGCTCAGGCAATGGAAGAGGGAAACGCTGGCAGCTCTGTTGGCTGCAGGTATCGACCCCGAACGCTCGACTTTATTCTATCAATCATCTGTATGTTACGATCAACCCCTCCGCGCCTCCCTCCCCCTCTCTCACATATATTTGTATACCCAAAGTCGTTTACCTGGGCAATCGCTGAAGCCGCCCTGACCCCGAAGACTGACAATTCAAACATCAGGTCCCGGCGCATTCTGAGCTCATGTGGATCTTGAGCTGTACAGCCTCGATGGGTTATTTGTCACGAATGACACAGTGGAAGGTCTAGTACTATACCGTCTCTTGATCAATAGATAAATTACTGACACCAGGTACTTCTTGACAGAGCAAGCTGTCACTCTCAAATGATGCCACCATTCTTGATGAAGGTGCGAAAGCCTCGCTGAAGCTCGGCCTATTCTCATATCCCGTCCTGCAGGCTGCTGATATTCTCGTCCACCGGTACGTTCATTTGGCCGTATCTCCAAGCGCTCCATGTTATTCGCCTGCCGCCTGCAGCTATCATGGGAATCATGGTGCAATGCACTTGATTAACTTTCGTTCAGAGCCACTCATGTACCCGTCGGTGATGACCAGAGACAGCACTTGGAATTTGCTCGCGAGTGTGTAACAAATTTCAATCACAACTTCGGCCCTCTCTTGGTGTCTCCTGAGACCATCACATGTGAGTTTGTCCAGCTATCTTTCTTATCATCATCTATCTCCGGGGCCCAATTCCCTAACAAGATATAGCACCGACACGCCGGGTTATGTCGTTGCAACAACCAACCCAGAAAATGTCGAAATCCGCTAGGGACCCGAGGTCACGTATCCTAATCACCGACACGCCCGAAGAGATCAACGTCAAGATAATGAGTGCATTGACAGACTCCTCTAATAATGTTTCCTATGATCCGGCTAACCGGCCGGGGGTATCAAACCTGTTGGAGATCCTCTCTATTTTTGATGTTCATGCCAGGAACCCAGCTCAACTCGCCGACTCTTTTTCTCATGCCTCTCTCAAAGATCTCAAGCAAGCCGTCTCAAGGGCTGTCGTCGAGGGGCTTGGCGGAATCCGTGAGCGCTACATGGAGCTTCTGTCTGTTGACGAGGGACGATATCTCGATGCCGTCGAAGCAAAGGGTGCCAGCAAGGCCCGTCTCAATGCCAACGAAACAATGGCCCTAGTGAGAGAAGCCACGGGGCTGTGAAGCTTCATCGTTATCTCAATACCAGCTTGGCGAGGCGCCCCTTAACCTATCGTGGCGCTGGGACATTTGTAACACAATGTATCATTACTTCTCATTTCGCGAACCACAATGTTGTGCATCGTTACTGGGAGTCATTTCTGGGTGTAGGAGAAACGCCGGTGGGCTGTTGAGGCATTGCCTCTTGGATTCCATGTTCTCGAACATGCTCTTCACGAGGCATAGGCGAAGTTTGAGCCTCGCGCAGCAAGCCAAAAGTCTCGCACCACCTGATTGGTACCCCTCGCTCCACGAAGACTGTCAGAGATGGTCAGTGATACATTCCCACACTCTCAACGAAGAAAGTCAAACCCACTTCATGATTTTCTTAAGAAAAACCGCTTTTTCATCGCCAGCTAGCTGCTGGCTTGGGAATGATGGGTCCGACAAAGCTTGCTCGAGCCAATTACGAGCTTTGGCTTGATTGCTGACCATCTTTTTCAGAGGCTCACTTAATCTGTCGAGTTCGCTCCTTGAGGCAGTTCCGCCGATGTTACGAACGATGGACTGGGCGAGCAATGGGCCTAACTGAGCTATCGCGTGATCTATCGTCGCATCTGCGGGCTTCAGAGCCATGAACGTGGCCTAGTGCTGGTCAGTACAATTGAGTGTCGTATGTCTCTGAGTTGGCGAACAAACCCAGAAATCCGCAGCTGCAGCTTTGGGTAGTGGCTCGCGCCCATCTAGGATCCGCAAGGCGTAGATGAAGAAAAACTCCGTAAGAGGAAGGCAATCCGGTCGGAAAAGCGACGCAGGCTCCCGCGAGATCAAGCGGTTCGTAAATTCAATGCCGTTCTGCGCCAACTCTACATCATTATCTGGCTCTGTTACGTCAAAATCGTGAGCGTGGTCCTGGAATCGAAACTAATGCGATCTTACCTGGTTGTTGCTGTAGTAAAGTAATGACCCATCGGAGAAGTTTCGTCCTTACTTCATCCACATCACCGCTCTTCATATTTCTTAGTGAACTAAGAAAAGAACAAGCAGTGTTCACAAAGTAGCCAATTCGAGGTGTTTGAGGTGTCTGTTCAGTGAGGTAGTCGCATACCAGCCCTGGAGGGAAAACGAATGGGCCAGCGTCCGACTCGGAAAACCCCGATCGGAAAATGGTGCAAATGCTCTCGGAAATTTCGTCGCTCTGTGGGAACGCTCTCTGAAGCTGTACTATCATTGACATGATTCCAGACTGCAAATGGCCGAGTCTGGAGGAGCTGTCGGTCGCCGGGATATCCTTCTCACTGTCCAGGTCGAAAGGCACGTCGCCCGGAGCCTGTAGACCTTTACCAATGCCTATGAGGCATCTCAGAGCTTTCAAGGCCATGTGCAGGGGAAGTTCCGACGGATCGCCTAGCGTCGGGCAGCGATGAATGTCTGTTCCGCTGCCTGATGCGTCGCTCTGGAGTCTGGGCAAGGACAATAGATGCATTGACAAGCGAGCATCTTTCTGGACGAACGAGAGTAAGAAGTTAATATGGTCGAACTTGGTGCTCTCATCTGGGACGGCTTGGATGACAGCGGCTATGGCTCCCATGATTCGCTCAACAGCCAGACAGTCCAGCTGACTTTGTGCGGCAATACCCTCATATTGACTGAGGAATGCGCTTGCCTCCGATGCCAGGATGGAGCGTGACGAGGAACAAAGCTGTAAAATGGATTTGGCGGCCGGCCCAGCTAGTAAGGGATCTGCAAGGACAGAGAAGAGCAGATTCAGTGCAGCTGGAAGGCTTTGGGTCTCGCGCTCAAAGTAATCGGAGTATCTTTCAATCAGGGATATACAGGTCTGGCGAGTGCGACCTGGCATAGACGAACCCGATGTCTGAAGAAGGTCGAATAGTGGTGAGGAGAAAACAGCTCTGAGGCTTTCGTCGCACCTGGCATCTCCAGTTACGCAATCGGCGAGGGATCCAAGACAGAACGTTGCAGCTTCAAGATCAGACGAAGAGTTTGGTGACAACGACTGAAGAGTCAGATTGGCGAAAGTTGAGATTAAGGGAGGTCCAGTCACGGTAAAGGTCGATTGAAGAAGGTCAGCAACATCCTTCCTTGCATCGCCAAAACCGGCGCGGTCAACCGAATCCCAATCAGCAAGAACACTGGCAGGTGGGTATGCAATTCGTTGCCACACAGTCGATATAGCTTCCAGAACGTGGGATGTGGCCGTAGAGACCCATTCCTTTGAGCCCTCTTCCTCCGAGTAAATGCAGTCTGTTAATGTCTCAACATAGGTGGACCAGAACTCGAGGGCCGGGACGAAAATCTTGTCCTCGCTGACAGGATATCCCTGGGCAGAGAGGAGCCCACGAAGATGTGCGACAAAACGCGATGAGCGGGCATCCACACCGTGAATGAGATCCTCAACCTTGGAATCGCCAAGAGCGATCATGAGCTGCCCGAATTGAACGGAATCAAAGTCGAAGTCCCCTTGGACAAGACGCTGGTATCGCTCATGAGACCACTGGGTCTCGAAAAGAGAAAAGAGGGATTCGTAATGTTCATCTGTCAAGAAGCCCGAGTAGTTTGACAGAATTTCGGAGAGCAACTCCACGGCCACCTCGTACAATTCGTTATCGCACAAAGCTGTGATCGTAGGCTGAACCAGGGCCCGAAGAGCGTGGACAAGCTCGTCGTTGTGCGCTGAAACCCTCTGAGAGAACCAAACCCACGACTGGACGATGTGTGGTGAGCAACTTGTCCCTAAAGATGAGGCATTCACGCGATTGGATAAACGAGGTGACTGCCTACCTGTAGACAAGTTATGGTGTCTTTCTGTAAGCTGTGGCTCATTGGATCTGAAGATCTTCGGCGTAAAAATCCGTGAGACATGAGAGCCATAGCATCTGGAACATTGCGCGTGAGATTTTCATATAAACCCATGCTTCCGCGCCGTTAGTGAACAGACCAGGATCAGAAAGGCTGCAATGCTCACTGTTTTGCTGAGTTCATTTCCACTTTCGTTGCTTCGTCTATTAGTGCTCCTGAGAACCATAGTGCGGCCTGGACGTTTCGAGGCTGGAGTGTTTGCAGGACGCTCGATAAATCGATGGTTTCATCGACTCGGTCTTGGGGCAATGCTACACCTTCGGACAGAGAGAGACAGAGGTGACGGATGCAAAGCCCCCACTGGGTGGGAAAGCATAAGAAAAAGGTTACCAAAGCTGCGGATAGCTTCCTAACGACCATGGCTCCGGAGCCGTCGTCCAGAGACCTAACAAACCAGCCTATGAGATTTTGTAGCAATTCTGATGCATCTTCCTTTGACAGTGAGGAGCTGATCTCGATATTAGTGGCGGTGCTGGCCAAATTGAGAGGTGGTATACAACCTTTCGGTGTTAAGCTTGACAATCAGGGTGAGGGCACCGAAGAACTTGACCTTGTCGTCTGCATAGCCCAAGAGATCACGGGCGATCCACCAGCCGGAAGGGGATCTTTGCATGCGATGAAGCGTCTCTTGGATGCGCGCAATGGTCTCAGGAGGAGACGGTTCATAGAGAGCCAGTACTAACTGCGAGGCGACTGTCAGCATAGTCACTACCTTGCCGAGGGTGGGTACGAGACTTACGGCTTCTGCCTCTTGTATGGTAGATGGCAGCTGAGGTTCCATGTTTGCGAGGAAGGATGAAGCACTTAAATGTTTGTCGATTTTGTTCTCATGTTGACACTCAACTATCTCCTCAATGATGAAGATGTGCTTCGACGTGAAGAGGCAGGCGCAGGATGGATGGCGGCGTCAGAGCTTGGAACTATGGTTGAGCGTCACAATTTGAAGTTGAGGCTCTGGGTAAACATAAAATGCAGGCCGAGTGCCCAAAGTGAAGTGTAAGAAAGCTCGGAGAAGATGAGGGTGGGTCGGGTCGCCTGAGGGACCAAATGACACGAGCGACAAAGTAACCTGGTGAAGAACGGACAACGTCTTTTTCTATTGGAAGGGAAGATGGAAGAGAAAGACAGTGATACGAGGTGTCACGGATAGAAGAAGATTTAGTGTTTTAATTTCTACGGATAACCTGGCATTACCTGCGAACAAGTCACAATAATGACGCCTAAGTATCCAAAATAATCCCCTTCCATTGGCAAGAATGGCAGCTCATAGTCCGTTTATGCGATTAAGGCGACTAAAAGTCTTGGGAAGTAGGCAACTGGTAGATAACTCTGTGCAAGACATATGTATTCACCTAAGGCATTCGACAGTAACCGACTTGCTTACCTAATTAAGGCATATATGCACTTAACATGGTGCCTTGGTACCTGTCCATGCCACCCACGTGCCATCTCACCACGCCACATGCTCCAGCTGCCTATTACACAGGCCTCCGCTGTCTTAAGGTACCACACAGAAGGGCGGGCAGTAACGGAATCTGCCCCTCCCTCAGGTCTGAACATGAGCTGGTGCGGGGCACTACTCACTTTTGTGGAAGGAGAGCTGGTGTGCATTTGTATGTATCTGTCGTCCAGGCCCACACTATCAGGTAGCTAGGCAGGACTACCTACTGTACCCAGGCCTGACCTGAGCTGCAGCATTTTCCAAACGTGGAGTCGTCACAGTCAGCTCCTTCCATTACCTGCGTACGTGCCTACCTACCTTACTTGTCCCGACGCTGCCCGTGGAGTTAGTTGTCCCCGCGCAGGTCAAGCCACATCGGGTATCCCATTTACCTTTGCCTTAACCTCCGCTTCCCAGTGAAATTGACCACACGCGCCCACCGTCCTGGTCGTACCTCCAGCATTCCCTCCTCATGCTCAGGACCAGTCTTCGCCCTGCCCTTTGTCTTGTCTGCCGAACCAGCTATCGATTCCCTACAAGCAGCGTCAGCGTCTGGCCCCCGCCCGCTGCATCATCCGCCGGCTTTCATATATCTTCTCCTGGCCTTGGCCATCGAGCATTACACCAAATCCCAGCCCTAGATATGGAGCGAATTGACACAACCAGCCGCCTCTCAAGGCTCAGAGAGCTGATGAAGGAGCGCAAGGTCGACGTTTACGGTATGGACAAATCACTGCAAGCCAGTTTTCTGCCGGTTGCGTTGTTGTAGCGTCGTCACTGATTCCCTGTTCTTCTATGTGTAGTCATCCCCTCTGAAGACTCCCATGCCTCCGAATATATCGCTGGCTGCGATGCTCGCCGGGAATTCATCTCTGGTTTCAGTGGCTCTGCCGGCTGCGCTGTCGTAACCTTGGACAAGGCTGCGCTGGCTACCGACGGAAGATACTTCAACCAAGCTTCGAAGCAGCTTGATCAAAACTGGTTGCTCCTGAAACAAGGTCTCCAAGATGTTCCTACATGGCAAGAATGGTCTGCTGAACAGTCTACTGGTGGCAAGGTTGTCGGTGTTGACGCCAAACTCATCACAGGCTCCGTAGCCAAGAAACTCGCTGAAAAGGTCAAGAGATCTGGCGGTAGTGATCTGCTGCCTTTGGATGACAACTTGGTGGATCTTGTGTGGGCTGCTAATCGCCCGGCTCGCCCCAAGAACCCCGTCAAAGTGCTGCCCGAGAGGTTCAATGGCAAGGACGTCAAGAGCAAGCTCAAGGACTTACGCCAAGAGCTGGAAAAGAAGAACTCACCTGCCTTTGTTGTGTCAATGCTCGACGAGGTTGCCTGGCTCTTCAATCTCCGCGGCGACGACATTCCCTACAACCCCGTCTTCTTCTCATATGCAATCATTACTCCCGATTCAGCAACCCTTTATGTTGACGATACTAAGCTTGGAAAAGAGACTCAGGATTATCTTGCGGAGAATGACGTCGCTGTCAAGCCTTACGAAGCCATCTTCGATGCAATTGACGCTTTACGATCCGAGGTTAAATCGACCGAGTCAGCAACTGGAACTACATCTCAGAGGTTCATGATCTCCAACAAGGCATCTTGGGCATTGAAGCGCTCCCTGGGCGGAGACGGTCAAGTTGACGAGGTAAGAAGTCCTATCGGGGACTCTAAGGCTGTCAAGAATAAGAACGAGATGGCTGGTATGAGGGCTTGTCACATTCGTGATGGCGCTGCTTTGATCGAGTACTTTGCTTGGCTGGAAGACCAGCTTGTGGCCAAGAAAGTGAAGTTGGACGAAGTTGAGGCAGGCGACAAACTCGAACAACTGCGTGCAAAGCAGAAAGATTACGTTGGCTTGTCATTTGACACCATTTCATCGACTGGTGCGAAGTAAGTTTGGACTTCTCTTGCCTCTAGTGAACATATTCTACCTGGGCTATGGCGGCACCATGAGACACCAATCATCCCAACTCTTGCTGATATCTCTCCAGCGCCGCTGTGATTCACTATAAGCCGGAGCGAGGGGCATGCAGCACCATTGACCCCAATGCCATTTACCTGTGCGACTCTGGTGCGCAGTACCTCGACGGAACTACCGACACAACAAGGACTTTGCACTTCGGACAACCTACGGAAGCGGAGAAGCTCGCCTATACCTTGGTGCTTAAGGGGAACATTGCGCTGGATACTGCGATATTTCCCAAGGGCACAACTGGCTTTGCGCTTGACTGCTTGGCTCGCCAGCACCTATGGGTACGTATTAAATCGCAGCCTTGACCAGCAGAGATGGGTAACTAACACTGCTTGCGCCTCAGAGAGAGGGCCTCGACTACCGTCATGGAACTGGTCATGGTGTTGGGTCGTACCTCAACGTACATGAGGGCCCTATCGGTATCGGCACCAGAGTCCAGTTTGCCGAAGTCGCTCTTGCACCAGGCAACGTAGTGTCTATCGAGCCAGGATTCTACGAGGACGGGTCATATGGCATTCGGATCGAGAATGTCGCAATGGTAACCGAAGTCAAGACAAAGCATTCTTTTGGCGACAAGCCCTACTTGGGCTTCGAGCACGTCACTATGGTCCCATACTGCCAAAATTTGATTGACCCCAGTCTCTTGACAGTGGAAGAGAAAGCGTGGCTAAACAAGCACAATGCGGAAATCTTCCAGAAAACGAAGGATTATTTCCAGAATGACCCCTTGACCCTAGCGTGGCTGACACGGGAGACGCAACCTTTCTGAGGTTATCAGACCTAAAAGCGGACAAAGGCGGCGAGAGTAAAGGTAGCTGCGAAAGATAGCCGGAAAACAGCATTGTGGAAAGGCTTTGTCAGAATGGCCTTGTTTAGATGTTTCTTCAAGCCGAGAAGCTGGGGCAAGTCCAAGCCATATCGATGCGCAAGCTATGGAACGATTGTTAGCACCGAATTCAAATAACTATAACCCGACGAGTGAGTTCCCTGGGGAGCGGCAGCAAGTACGTAAATGGTGAACATGGCTAGGCCGGTAAGGAGAGCCAGAGTGTGAGATAGAAAGCCGACGAGAAGTCCAACTCCAAATCCTATACCAATATTAACAAGATATACCCGTTCGGGATATATAATTCTCATACCATAGATGCTACCGCGTGAAAGCTGTCTCATCGATTCTGGATTCAAGCTCCCAAATGAACGGCGATCTTGCGCGCGATTGGGCGATGCCGCGGTTGAGGTGAGATGAGAGCCAAAGTTCCCAGGCGTTTGTCGGTAGACAAGTGAGTAAGTGACGCAAAAGCCAGCGCCGACCGGCCAAGCCAGGCGCCGACCGGCGAATCTTGCTGAAAGGAGGCCGCTCATGGGAACGTTTCAGCTCAGATGGAAAGCGAAGTCAACCAACGTTGCTGCATGTGGTGGAGGAAGGTGGGAGAGACTAATTGAGAATAAGTTTGTAAACGAAGAGTCGTACCTTGGCATGCTCATTATGCACCTTTCTTACGTGCCCTTACGATCATTGATTTACCCTCCATTAGGTAAGGCACTACTAGTCTCATACTTTTGCTGCTCTTCTTTACATAAGCACCTAAGGCACGGTACATTCCATGACCTTGCGAATGAGGTACAGTTGAATACAGGCATTTTGGTCGGGCGACTTCCAACATGACAACCTCAGATACGCCCCTGACGTGCGTTATAAACGTGGCAGTCTTGCTAATTCGAAGGACCTCGTTACTCGAGGGCGTCAAGGATTGGTGCCTCAGTGCCTTGGTGTTTTCCTGTCCTCTGACGTAACCTTCCTTCAAGTCACACCGCATGGCCATCCCAAAAGGTGTTGACATTCAAGTAACAAAGAAGCATCGCCAACGCCACGAACTCCCCATCCCCCTATAAAATCTCAAGAAGAAACCGCCATCCCAGAAAGGGTATCCGTACGACCATGATATAACAGAAACAGAAGCCAGGGAAATTATACACCTCGTAGGGAGGATCCCGCGTGTTCGCAAATATAGCGAGCAACGCCCAGAGGGCGACCCCAGGTATTCACCAAGGCGGCTCGGTGATCGTCAGAAGCCCCATAGATCAATAGTCCTCGTTAACCTTGGTAACTTCAGCCGAGGCCACCCCATACGCCGCGAATGCGCCTTGCAAGCTGGATATCCTTTTGCATGATGGTCACCCTCTTAGCATGGATTGCACAGAGATTTGTATCTTCGAAAAGGTGAACCAAGAAAGCCTCGGCAGCTTCTTGCAGTGCTTGTATTGCTTGTGACTGCCATCGCATAGCTTCGCCTCGAGGCCTTACCGACTCGGCAATTTCGCGAACCTAGAGAGAACGGTTAGCCTGTCGTGTCCTAGAGTATTGACTGGGTCTGAACGTACTAGACGTGAGAAGGGAAGACGTCGCAGCAGAAGGTCGGTGCCATTTTGGTATCTCCGAATCTCCCTAAGAGCAACCGTCCCTGGTCTGTAGCGTCGCTTGCCTCGATTGGGGATCGGATCGCCAGCTGCTCCTCGTCAGCACCCGTCCTACACGACCGGGGAAGCATAATCTTTACGTTGGACATCGCTCTGTCGCGATTTGCGACGCACAACGTCCGACTGTCTCTTCTTCGGAGGCATGGCGATGGGTAGCGTTTTCCGAAGTCTGTTTTGCAGAGGTCTGCTCGGGGGATCCTTATTTTGACTAAAGGGGCGAAGTGGGTGTCCAAAGGAGGGCCGGACAAGTGCGATAGCTAAGACAAGGTTGCGAGAGTGAGGGCAGCGTAGGAAAGTCTCAATTGGGATTGCGACAGTAGGGACAGAATAATGAAGGTCAACTGAGCTTCATCTATTATGTTTGACGGATTAGAAGCCGGGACGAGATTGTAGCTCGGAGGTGATAATGGTGGTGTTGAAGGAATAACGAAAGTAATTGAGCTACTCTCCCATTCCGATAGGACCTGAACCGTAGTGCGCTACCAGCCCCGCGATTTTCAAGGGAAATCGATCGGGACGCGTTTCGCGTGTTTCTTAACGCGTGTCCTGGCTACGCCAGACCACTTTACGCGTACTGCACCACTTGCTGTGCAGGGCTGTCTGCGTGAGTCGGCACTGTGAGGCTGATGCGGTCCCTTTCCATAGCTGTGGGTTTACTGATGGCACGTGAAGCGCTAGGTAATGTGAGGTGGATATACAAGTACGCGAATAAGGTACCTTGTGGGAAGGAACGGCACCAGTTTACAAGGGGCTGATTACTGTTGCTAAGTACTGGTTGCCAAGCTGTCCCCACTCCCCACTTCACCTCCAGCAATAAATTGACCGCATCAACCGTTCGTCAGCGCTCAAGGTGCCGACCGTGCCTACCTAGGTAATTCCTACCCGCTAGGTACCTACCTACGTTACTCAGAGGCCACCTCTCCAGACTTGTAACTTGACTACATGCAGTCGTGCTCCCACCCTCTCTAACCTCAGTCACTTCCCAAGCCGGCGACGTATCTGACGATTTATTGCCGATTCAACTTCGTCCCTCCGTGTAATCACGGCCAGTCGCTTGGTCTCTTCTATCGACAAGCATCGCAAACGTAGTGTTATCCGTCCTCCCCGACGCTTTTGCAACCCCTCAACCTAGCTACACTCTCAGACGACCAAGATACTTAGACGGCACTTCACGCCCTTCGATTTCCGCAAAGCTCCGGCACGGCAGGCAATGAGGGCAACTTCTTTGCCGACGAATCTTCGCCTCTGAAGCACTCTCATCCCAGTTCGTTACGCAGCATGGACCAGATGATGGGTGACGGGGGCCGATTCCCCCTTGAGACGTGGTTCTGGGAAATGCCCATTTGCACCAGATGGTGGACGACTGCTACCGTTCTGACTAGCGCTCTCGTACAATGTCAAATGGTCACTCCCTTTCAGTTGTTTTACAGCTTTCGCGCTGTCTTCGCCAAATCCCAGGTTCGCCTAATTCTTCCATTCTTCATTTATTGATATGTTGGCGATGATTGCAACCCCACCACAGTCTAGTTCTCTCCCCCGAAGACATTCGAACTATTGCTGATCACTCTGAATGTCCTCATAGTACTGGCGTCTCCTTACTACGTTCCTCTACTTCGGCCCATTCTCGCTCGATCTGCTATTCCATGTCTACTTCCTTCAGCGCTACGCGCGGTTACTCGAAGAGTCCTCTGGCCGCTCCCCAGCACACTTTTCCTGGTTGCTCGTTTATTCCATGGCGAGTCTTCTTCTCTTGTCGCCAATGGTCTCGATGCCGTTCTTGGGCCACCCACTCTCTTCAACTCTCGTTTATATTTGGTCGCGGCGTAACCCGGATACGAGATTGAGCTTTCTTGGACTGCTGGTCTTCACAGCCCCCTACCTACCGTGGGTTCTGATGGCCTTCAGTCTTATCCTCCATGGCTCTATTCCCAAGGATGAAATTATGGGCGTGGTGATCGGTCACATCTGGTACTTCTTTACTGATGTATACCCGCCTTTGCACAATGGGTCGCGTCCATTCGACCCTCCAAGCTGGTGGAGGAGGCTGTTTGAGAGACGTCAGGTGGAGGAAACAGCTGATGGCATCAACAATGAGATTGCCATTGCCGGAGGGCCAGAGCTTGCTGCTGACGTTCGATGATGGGACATGTTGGGCAAATCTATTGGGGACGAAAAAGAAGATGGGAAAAGCTGGTGGGATTAGCAACATTTGCATTGTTCTTGGCGTTGGGGTATCAATATCGCCATTAAGCGGCATATGTCTTTGTACCCATGCATGATTTTCATCAACGAAGCACCTCAGGCTTGAATTCGCCATAAGCATAGATACCTTAGAGCTGACTTCCACGCCCGACAGTTGTCCCAGGCGAAAGCACAGGTCAACGTAAGAATGTCATGTATTGTTATCCATGTTCTCTTTGCAACGTGTGTTTCCCATTCTAATGTGTCGTGATTCAAGATGCTTTGACTAGCATTGCTTTTTCCTCAAGTACCTTGAGATAGCCAATTCACATTTCGGGCGATGGTTCTGGCTCTGACTCTGGCCGTCTTGACTTCCACGCGCGGTCGCAAAGGAAGGCCGGGCTGCCGCGCGCCGATGGTGGGTTCCAGCCGGAATGACCTACCTTATGGCAGCCCCGCCCACGTGCAACCTGACTTATCTATGTACAAGTAGAGGTAAGGCCGGACGGACAACGACACGCTTCATTTCCAGCACCTCTTCTGATGACCCCACCTGCTGAGCCAATTGCGTCATTTCAAATACAAAAAGTGAAACCGACCTCATTACCTACTGCCTCCAAAGCGCAATCGAAATAACACCAACTCAATACTGCTGACCACAGAACCTTTTGATATTCTACTTTGCGGAATACTCTTGATACAAAGTACTCACAGTGCCGTCTATACAGGCATACAAAACCTCTAAGTCTCATTTACGCACAGCTCTCAGGCTTGCGATACATTACCCACTCACCAACATGAGGGCTTATTGGTATGATGGCCTTGATGTAAGTTGAGAAGAAGCCTTTCTTTAAAATGTCTAAAATGACCAAAGCTCGAGTCCTCGGTAGTAATCAATCACTGACTATCAACGACACCATAGGGTGACCAGCGCCTGGCACATGACTCTGGCAAGGAGGTTACCGTCGAAGATCTGAAGAAGCTTGGTGTCTTTTACCACCAAATCCCTAATCTGGATGGTGTCAACCAGCTGGCTTCGGACCGCGGCTATAGGAACCGAGACGAGATTGTTGTGTCGCCAGAGAAGATGGGCGAGATCTATGAGGAAAAGGTCAAATCTTTCTTCCACGAGCACTTGCACGAGGATGAGGAAATTCGTTATGTTCGTGACGGTCAAGGTTTCTTTGACGTCAGAAGCGCCGATGACGCTTGGGTTCGTATCCGTGTTGAGAAGGTAACATCGCCATGTTCGTCGGCAAATGGCGCTGCAACCAGCTGACCATTGGCAGGACGACTTAATTATCCTGCCTCCTGGCATCTACCACCGCTTCACAACCGACGAGTCTAACGTAAGCAGTGCATGTATTCAGAGGTTATGTAGTTTGCTAACAGTCCAAAGTACATCAAGGCAATGAGGCTCTTCAAGGATGAGCCCAAGTGGACCCCTTTGAACAGGACGAAGGACCTTGATGTGAACCCGCACAGGAAAGAATATGTTGAGCAATACCTTCAGAACGGCGTGTCAGCATGAACAACCAGCTAAGGACACGGTACATGGGGGAGAGTCTGTGGGCATGAGCGAAGCAGGTGGATAAGATATCTAGTGGGAGTATGGAGATGATTCGTGCCACTTGCAGGATCCCTTGCACTCTAGTCATGTTTCCGAGTACAGCAAGTCTCGTTACGAAGGCACCTCTTTGACTAATGTACGACTTGGCAGACAGGCGCTAGACTGGGTAATGCCTATGCTGACATCTCCATCTACTGCACAGCGCAAATATGACGAGATCTGACGAGATTTGTCCCTATTGTCTAATTCCTCCATCAAATGAAGACCGGCTTGCCAACCCCAAGATGCCAACGGTGAACGGCCGCTCACCCGTAAGAACAATCACTGCTCTGCTGGAACCAGTAGACAGCGGAGAATGGGAGTGGCTCATCCAGCACTACCTTCCTACCTACCTTGGCGGTCATGAAGAGGCGACGCGAGAATCATCCGACATTCATCCCGTGGCTGAGGATCGTGAAACTTGGCATCAGAAGCCAATTTTAGATGCATAGAGACATACCGTTATACGGTTACCCAGCCGCTCATGCATGTACCGGGATTAAGAAGGGGATATGGGGAAGTGGGGTACGGATATACCAGTTCTCATCTACCGAAATCACCGGGTTCATCCAGCAATCAGCACTGGTCACCTTGCGGCCTTCAACAACCACACCCTCATCGGTCTCGGTATCATTGGAGCAGGCAAAAGTACCTCGCCCGGGTAGGCCTTTCCCAAGGCCACCAATTCTTACCTCGACCTTCACTTCGTCTCACAGGTGGATGCACTGAGCAAGCTGAAATCTCGCATTCGATTTACGTTTCTTCTCCATACCTCGTCTTGCTCTATATTGATTTAATGGCTCGGATATCTTCACTTCCTAAAGCCACCGGCATTTTACCGTTCCCTTTTCTTCCATCTTACCATCAATATTGCATCTAATAGCTCTCTTCCGTAACGAACGAGCTGCAACGATTGCCCCTCTGGAGACTGCTTCCATACCGACTGCCAAGAGGCCGCGAGCTTATCAGCAGAGCTACGTAGAGCTCGTAATACCACCCAGCGACTGTGAAACGAGCGCGATGGACGTGTGTAGCGAGAACAGCGCGACTCCCGCGGATGGACCGTCAAGAGTGAAGCTTCAACTCCCAGCTAGCTGTGATCCACCACAACTTGACGGCGAGAGGAAGCAGTTGGTCTGGGTTGTAAGTGATGGGACACCCTTATGTTACTTTCTGACATTGACTGAGCACTTCCTGTGCAGGTATTTGGTGGAACCGGCCACATGGGTAGATCTCTTGTCAAGTCCGCCTTGTCCAAAGGAGATCTCGTCACTTCCGTGGGCCGTGTGTTCGAGACGACACCGGAGGAAATGGTAGCACAGCAGGACAACGAAAATTGTTTGGGGATGCTGTGTGACGTTCGAGCGAGAGACTCGGTAGCGCGGGTCATTGAACGGACCTTGGAGCGGTTCCAGCGATTTGACGTCGTAGCCAACTGTTCTGGCTATGGCGTAATTGGAGCATGTGAGGACCAGGATGAGCACGAAATCCGCAATCAGTTCGAGACGAACTTCATGGGCACTTTGAACATTATCCAAGCCAGCCTACCTTACTTTCGCCAACAGAACGGCGGCCGCTACCTGATTTTCAGCTCGACGTCAGGAGCTCTGGGTGTTCCAGGCCTCGGCCCCTATTGTGCTACCAAATACGCCGTCGAGGGACTCATAGAAGCTATGCTTTACGAGACAGACTCATTCAACGTCAAGGCAACACTCGTAGAGCCGGGGTTCGTCAGAAGGGACGAGCCAGATACCCTTGCAACACCGTTACCAACCTGGGGTCATTTCCTCATCAAACCTGCGAGCGATGCCTACGCACAGGCAACATCACCAGCGTTGCATGCCAAAAGAATGGTTCAGTGGCTCGGTGACCGGCAGCCGACAAGCGCCGTCAAGTGTGCGGAGCTCGTCTGGCAACTAGCTCATTGCTCGTATCCCCCGCTGCGGCTCCTTCTGGGGAGCTATGCAATAGAGAGTATTCGTGATAGGCTGCGGTCCGTCACCGAAGAATTGGAGGATTGGAAACATCTAAATTTCCCCGCTCCGCCTGATGAAGGGGAGGGAAAGGAGGCGCAAGCAGATCAAGATGAAAGCATGGCCGACTCTGGGCAGGATGCGCCTGGCCAGGTAACTGCGTAGGAGTTGTGTACTGAGTCTGAGTGAATTTTGAGTTCTTTGTTTTTCTGTGTCAACGGCAAAGATGCGAGTGGTGGGTGCTGTCTCTCGTAGACTCCAATGCGCAAAGAGTCCTCGGTGCTTCAAGCTTTGCCAGACATCGGGGACATTCTTCTACAAGAGAGCAGGGGAAACCCTTTGAAGTGATGGAAAGCGAATACAAATCACAGAAGAGAAGACTGCAAGACCAGACAGACGAGGCATCTGTTGAATGAAGCTGACGTTGGCAAAGTACCCGTCCGTACTTGCAGGTCCTTGAAGTTGTCCCCATGATACACGCAAGTCTCTTTCGCCTGCTTTGAAGAACCAGCGTTGGGGGTACTCTTGTCTCTGCCTACACGTCATCTTCGATTCTGCAGGGCGGCTGACGACGGGAGAGGGCCTTGGAAGTACGTATTGTTGCCAACATCTGGGAGCCTCGCCATTGGACGCCTCTGGGTGCCATCTTCTCACCCGTCTTATTCAGCAAGCAGTTGTGCTTTTAGACATGCCGCAGCGATGAAACGGGGCAATGAAGCTCGCATATGTGACCGAAAACCCATGAGACGCTTGCCTTCATTCAAGATCATGAGTGAGCCTGGTGATGAGGTCACCGGGAACTGTACTGTGTTGTTGAGGCTCAGCCTACAACTTTGCCTTCTCAATTCTTTCCTGCTCCGCCCATGCCTTATTGATGCGAACATTTTGCCAAAACCGCCAGGCCCCAAGGGCTGCCGCTGCTGGTGGACACGCCAGAAGCAGCCAACTCCACCATACTGGGCTGGAGGCCTGAACGTGACGGATAGCCTCGCCGATGTCTCTCTTCAAGTCTTCCTTGGAGCCATCATTCCATAGTACGACGCCCTTGCCCTCACCTCTGGCTTCACATCTCCGTGCCTTGAGCCTCACATCCGTCTGGCTGAGCACGCGGTTCTCGGCGTCTTCGCGGCTGAGATGAGGATCGCGGGCCATGAGACGCTGCATCTGTAACTCGGGGTCCTTGACAGCAACGACAAAAACGGTGCCGCAGAGGCGGTCGAGGCTGCTTTCGAATAACAGGGGAACGTCGAGGAGAACAGCCCAGTGACCGGTGACATAGGCACGAAGAATGGCCTTGTACATCTCAGAGCGAACGGCGGGGTGAACAATGCCGTTGAGTACGGCACGGTCCTTTTTGAGCTCTTCCGTGTCGCCAAAGACGCGCTTGCCGAGGGCGGGTCGGTTGAGTGGTCGACCTTTGCCGTCGGGCCCGGCCTCGGGCATGGTCTCTGAGACCGGGACGAGGAGGTCCGGGGTTGTGGGGAGGAAATGCTTCACGATGGCAGCATATCCCTTTGATCCAGGTTCGACGACTTTCCTCGCGAGGACATCGGCGTCGATGAGGGGAATGGAGTAAGGGGGCTTGGAGAGGATGGAGGAAACGGTTGACTTGCCCGTTGCAATGGAGCCCGTAAGACCAATGAAGAGCATTGTGAGAGAATCCCCGTTTTAGGGCGTGATTTCGGGTTGGCCTCTTCTTCCGAAATTTGAATGCGAGCCCCGGCGACAAATGCGATGGGTTCGATATCGGCGCCACGGTATTGAATTGGAAATGCGGGAGCTGGGACGGGAAGAGGGATGAAGTTCAGGTCGTTAATGGCGATAGTGGGGGTGGACTGATGATGGATCCGAGGTTATTTCGAGTCGAGGAAGAAGGAAAGCACAGGGCAGGTACATGAGCTTGGGGTACGACTACCCATGCGTCAGCCAATTGACATTCACTTTGCAGTTTCGGTGCCAAGCATAACTGAAAGAGAGCGCGATTGAAGGAACTTGGTACCTTGGCAACGCAATGAACTTTTGGCGACTTTGGTCGTCAAATTATCTTGGCTTGCGCAGAAATCATACAATTCTTTCTTGACGGGACGAGAAAAACGCTGGCCTTCGTTCAGGTCGGTACACTGGCCCCTGGGGTTGAGGTGACCTTGGGAGCTATCTCACGTACCTAGGCATATACGGATAGGTAGGCACCATCCCGAAAGACAGCGCCAGGGGCCAACCTTGCGGTCTTGCCTTATGTAATTCTGAAGAACAAGAAAAAAAGCAAAGGAAAAAAAACCCAGACAAGAAAAACTGGACAGGGTGAGGCAGCGTGACACTTTCCCTTACTGTGCCCTGTGGTCGAATTGGAATGGTGCACCCCTGGGTCTGCCAGGTGTCTAGTGGTCCCTTGCATTCATCCCTTCTTACCAAAGATACTTTCATGGCTCCTTGACTGGGCTGTCGCGGGCGGTATTTGGAGAGCTTACGTGCCCCGAGATTCTCCACCTGGCCTGTAGAAAGCACTAAGGCCATCCAATCTGAGGTGAAATTCCGTGACCCTTGATGGGTAGGCGCACGCGTGTTCCCCTGCGTTCCCGTCCCGTCCGTTCTAATTAATGCCCAAGAGCCTTTGACCCCCTTAACCTCCGTTTTCTTTCTTAACCCCAGATCTTCAACAACGCTTCCCCTAGAGCCAGATCACCGCGTCCGCAAACAACGAAGCGTGAAGGACCGCAGCTACGACTCGATCAACCCATCACTACCTTCTACCTCGTCGAAGTTGCGAGGCCGGTCATACACGACTCTCCCCGTTACCGAATCTCGGCGCATTCGCAAGCTCCACGGCTGCATCCTGCGCCAAACCTATTGAAGCCAGCTTGCTTCTACTGCCAATTTGATATACCGTCCAGACAGTTGTACACCGAGCGCCATCATGACGGACAAGAAGAACGAGGATTACGAGCTCCGCTCCTCCGAGTCATTTGGAGAGAAGGATGGCTTTCTGGCTCGGCCTCCCCCAAGGCCGCGTCCTACTCTTGGATCGCCAATCAGCAAGATTGACAACAGTCCCGGCGCTGCCATTCTCGCCTACTGCTTCTCTTCCATCAGCATGACCGTCGTCAACAAATACGTCGTTTCAGGCCAGTTCTGGAACCTCAACTTTCTTTACCTTGCTGTCCAGGTGCGTTCTATCCAAAGGCAAATCCCCAGTCGCGACTACCTCTAACTCAGCCCTCTTATCCAGTCCATCGTGTGCATCCTTACCATTATCGTGTGCAAGAACCTCGGAATGATTACGAACCTGGCGCCATTCGACACTGACAAGGCAAAGAAATGTTGGTCTCGTCTCACGTGATGCAGGCATCGGCCAAAGCTTACTATCTGCAGGGTTCCCTATCGCACTCCTCCTGGTTGGCATGATTTACACGGGCACCAAGGCCTTGCAATTTCTCTCTGTGCCGGTATACACCATCTTCAAGAACCTGACCATCATCGTCATCGCGTACGGCGAGGTTTTGTGGTTCGGCGGCAGTGTCAGCCCTCTTGCCCTTCTCTCGTTTGGCCTGATGGTCCTCAGCTCCGTTGTTGCCGCCTGGGCTGATGTCCAGCATGCTCTTGGAGGTGGATCGCAGTCTGCCGAAGCCTCTGCCGCCGTTTCGACCTTGAACGCTGGGTACGCGTGGATGGGCATGAACGTTTGCTGCACTGCGGCCTATGTGCTGGGCATGCGCAAAGTTATCAAGAAGATGAACTTCAAGGACTGGGACAGTGGGTTACCCTGAACGTCCAGGCGTTCCTAATTGGCAGAATTTACTGACGAATGTGTTAAAAAGCCATGTTCTACAACAACCTTTTGACGATTCCCGTCCTCATCGTTTGCACATTCCTTGCCGAGGACTGGTCTTCGGCAAACATCGAGAAGAACTTCCCCGTCGAGTCGCGCAACAGCCTGTTTGTCGGCATGATCTATTCGGGACTCTGCGCCATCTTCATCTCCTACTGCTCTGCATGGTGCATTCGTGTCACCTCGTCAACGACATACTCTGTGGTTGGCGCACTCAACAAGCTTCCCATTGCCATCAGTGGTCTGGTCTTTTTCGACGCCCCTGTCACATTTGGCAGTGTGTCGGCTATTGTTGTTGGCTTCATCAGCGGTATTGTCTACGCGTGGGCAAGAATCCGTCAGACGGAGGCTTCCAAGATGTCATTGCCGACGACACAACCTATGAGCGCGAGCTCGCAAAGCAATAGGGATGCGAACAAGTAGTGGCTGCCAGTATGGCAAGGTTGCCGGAATAGAGGCAAGTTTTGGGCGTAGCTTATCCGCGTGAGAACCTTGTGTTGGTGGCACGCTGATGACGGCCGTCATCTATCCCATTTTGGACAGCCGTGCAGGAGTGATGGCCGAGGGCACAATAGCATGTGAACTCGGCCAGGTTCGGCTTCGCTCTGCTCTTGAGATCAGCATAGACAAGAAACCTGTGCCGCGATGCATGCTTCAGCCTTTGAGGTGTGGGCGGAAGAGCGGAACAAGGAGAAGCACGAGATGACAAGATACGAAAAGGCGTGTTAGAATACTGCAGCATTTCGTTTGCTGACGAAATGAATGTGGAACGATAGTACAGTACTATGGACGATGTAGCAATGTTGTAATGCCATGACACTGATTCCGCGAGGGCCCTGACAACATTCCCGTTGTGAATTGGTCGGCAGGGGGGCGACATATCTGCGATCCATTTTAACGATTTGATTCAACAAGATGTGGCGGTGAGTTTGGTTGAGATGCTGAACATACCGAGGCGCCCCAATCGGTTGAAGAAAATTGCAACGCTGACATCGCCCCACGTACCCACGTCAAAGCTTAGAGGAGTGCAGCTTGCTTCGTGGGGTTTGAAGTAGTAAACGGTCCTCAAGAGAGAAACGCGAGCCATCAGCATGTGTTTGTCAGATGGCTTGACTACCTAGGTATCTTCCGCACCTGAGCTGCTAGGCTACTCTAAAGTAACTCGTCACGCAACTTCCCCATCTTAGGTGAGGGAGGAAGCAACGGCGGTTATTGTTGAAAAGCTTGGAACTGATGCACGTTGGGCTCCCCTGTAGAACTGTATGAAGTAGAACATACCTGAGGTAGTTACCAGCCATCAGGACCCATGACATCACACTCCATAGTATGTACGTTAGGG